GGCAACTATTTTTGGAAGTCAGGCAAATTAAGCACCTTATGACTAACCGGTTTTAGTACATCTTTTGGTGATGTGGTGCTCTCTGGCTCCTTTCTTATTCTGATTTCTGCTGCGTCCTGTTTCCAGAGGCACTTTTTTCTTCTCCCACACGTTCTGAGAGAGCTAGCTCCAATGCCACCTCTTCTGGGAAGCCTTCCCGGACTTCGTTCTCTGCCGCTAGTCCCGCGATGGAATTGTCACTCCCCGCACTGTGCTTTCCCAGCCTTGGCGCATGACCAACAGTTAGTCTGTGCGCCACGACCTACCCTGGGGTCGTCTTGCCATTCTGTCTGTTGCATGCAGAGTATGGAGGGTTTGGGAGAGATTGAAATGTTGTCCTTCCCAAAGGCTGTAAGTTCAGTTCTCATGGAGTGGTGCCCACTAGTGAGGGCCCTCTCTATGGACCTGTCTTGTAGCTCTGTCTCCTGTTTTATAGTCTCCTGTTGCCATCTTCTGTTTAGTGATCAGCTGACTCTACAGAAGCAAGCTTTTATCTTTCCTCTTAAAAGTGCTCAACCGTGTGAGCTCTCCTCTCTCTTCCCTGGTCGCGTAGGCTTTTATATAGAGAGATCTGACCACACAGTTCCTGAACATTGTTCCACCCGGGGAACTGCCACCTGCATTCCGCAGTCTCCACTGTCACTGGAGTTGCAGGCAGGCAGTCAGCATGAGCCACGAGAGGGAAGACGGAGGGGCTGGGAGGGCTGGGGCATCCGGTTGGGAAGAGGTGCAGACAGTATGCCTGGGACCCGGAGGCTGCTGCTCCTCTGCCGTTACAGCAAGTGACGGTTTAATTAATGGGGAAAGTCAGGAAGCGTGAAAAATACGCCTCATTTCGCTCTTCCCTTGCCTTTTACAGAACCTGAAGGTCTCTTCACAGACTAATTTCTTATCTCGTGCGTGGTGGTTCCCCATCTTTTATTTTTTTGAGAAAAACGTACAAGGCTCGATTCCTTGCTGCTTCTCCTGGCCGCTCTCCTGGCCTCCGGGCTGCTTTAAGTCTTCGTGCAAGAAGTACTCGCGGGTTCAGAAGATCGGGGAAGACAATGAGAAATCGACCTGAGGAGCAAAACAAAGGCTTCAGCTCTTATACCCAAAGAGGTATCGCTGTAACCAAAGGGATAGTTTTGTTTGTTTTTTTATTTTAGGAGAACTGACTGGTAAATGAAGAAGTGGACCAAGTTTTGTGTAAACGATTAGAAAGATGAACAAAGCGTTACGCTTTGACTGTTGGTTTTTTTACGCCTCCTGAGAAAGTCGTCTTCTCCTGAGGCTCTTCCTTCACGGTGACAAGCCCTCCGCCGGGATTCCCTGACGAGCTTGGAAAGAGGTGCCAAAGAACACGTCCGCCTGCCCTTCGTCTTTCTCCACTAAAGCATTTTTTCAGGATTTCTTTTCCTCCAGGGTCAGAAGGATTTGCCAATGTTTTCAATAAACTATCTGGACAGTTACAACCTAATGTTGAGGGTGGATTTGAGCACTGGGCCTCTTAGTGAGGGGGAGACGCGGGGGTTGTGAGTAAACCTCGGGTGAACTTATTCTCCCTGTCCTGGGGAAGGTCAGGGTCAGGTCTGCGAATATGTACTGCTGCTACCACCCAATGTACTATGTGTCACTTTTACTTTATTCTTTTTAACTGATGATTTTATTTAAAACATGAAAGAAACGTGATCTAAGTAAATATGGAAATATTTGACACACCCCACAGATTTTACTTGGGCGTAAATACTTACTTTTAAGATCTCTCTGACAGATGTACAGGGAGCAGGGCGGTTCCCGCTCACAGTGGTCCTTGTTTGCACACTGGCTGAGCACAGGCTGAAAAACACGTGCGTGAACTGTGGCTCGTGCCACGTGGGAAACAGGCCTGCATTTCTCGCCCGGGTCCCCCCTGGGTGAGGTCTGTTTCAGAGCTGCTCACCGGAGCTCAGAAATGCAATTGGTCCCATCTCACTAAGCCCACTTCTTGCTAGTTACATTCTGCTTTATGGGAAAAGGAAGGCGGAGCCCAAAAGTTGCATGAATGCATCCTTTTTGCCGGAGGCCCAGCTTCTTGTAAACGGAGCGTTTATAGGAAGGAAGGACTGAGGAGCCAGACCACAATGAAGTCGTTCCACTCTGACCCTGCCAGGACACCACTGCGCTGCACGCCGACCTGCTGCTGGAATCCAGGCGTTAGCACAGCTGGTCGCTAAAGGGGGCTGGTCGTTTCTAAAGTTCTTTCAGGTGATGCGGGAAAAAAAAGATGGACTTGATCAGATTTAATGCTGTCAGAGTTCGTGCATTGTTTCATGCTGTTGGGGCTGTGGACAATTCTTAATTTCTGACAACTTCTAGGACCTTAGGAAAAGATCTAAAGTTACACAGTCATCAGCTCAGAGAACAGAGAGGCCAACTCTGTGGGAAGGCAGTTACATTTATATTGAAGGCAACCGTTTCCCACCCCTTAGAATGAAAACAAAAACCAAAAACCACCCCTAAATTTGCCCTCAACCAGTCAGCCCTGAGTTGATAGACAAAATGGACCTTTAAATGACTTGAGCGAAGCACAGTACACACTGACATGTGTTCAGGAAGGGTCTTCGTCCTTTGGTGCTAAAATTCTCTGTGCTTCCAGGGTAGCTCCTGCTCTGTGTAATAGAAGAATCACTAAAGGAAACGTAATTGAGTTCAACACCAGGAAGAAAGATTTTTCTAACCTGGTATTTGAAACAAGAAACAAAACCCTAAACCTTCTTGGCAGGTTTTCAAATGCAGGAAGTTTTCCTGGTATTTATCAGTAAACCAATAAGAAACATATCCATACCTTACCAGATGTTTATCTAGAATTCCACATAATTTTCGCCTACGAAATATGGGCACGTGTGAAAGAAACCAGGTGTTCTGTGCGAAGACACTGATGTTCAATTCCCGTTGTCCAATTGTGAGGAAAACATGTGACGCGGAAGCCTGGGCTTTGCTCTCCTAACACTGGTACATTGAGCCTCTGACTTAAATAAGACAACCTGGTATATCTGAGAGCCTTATTCCTACATTGTAGATAGCCCACTCTTCATCAAATTAAATTAGGGAACGTATTTAAGCTTTTAAAATCCTGGCGCGTTGATTGCTGGAGGCCCTCGAAATAGTAAACCTTGCATTTTAGTCAGGTAACTAGTTTTGTGTTTAAATAATGCCATCACCTTTTCAAGAACTTTTAAAAGCACTTCTGACTCCACCTGTGGACACGGCTGCTCCCATGCCCCTCACAGTGTATGCCATAGCCCTGTCATGGGCGCTGTGGGAGCGTGTGGTACCAGCATAAGGGTGAAGGGGAAATAGCGAGTTTCAAGGTGCGAAGGTGAGAATAGTGAATCTCATTTACATTTAGAAAAGCAAACTTGATGTCTAACCCAACATGCCACGTTAGAGTATGACACATGAACAATGACTAGAGGTAGGGTGGTGATCACTTCACAGTCTATAGAAATAGCAAATCATTACGTTGTAAACCTGAAACTAATACGTCACTTGTATCTCCGTTTTAAGAAATTTCAATCTTGCCTCTCAAACAGTAAACTTTTGGCTCCTTTTC